GGTTCGGGTGAGAGCGGATATAGTGATATGCGGGGTCCGGGGAGAGAGCGGATGATATAGTGAATGCGGGGTCAGTGGAGAGCGGATATAGTGAATGCGGGTCCGGGGAGAGCGGATATAGTGATTGCGGATCCGGGGGGAGAGCGGATATAGTGAATGCGGGATCCGGGGAGAGGGATAATGTGAATGCGGGGTCCGGGGGCACTTCGGGAGAGCGGTATAGTGAATGCGGGGTACGGGGAGAGCGAGGATATAGTGAATGCGGGGTCCGGGGAGACGGATATAGTGAATGCGGGGTCCCGGGGAGACCGGATATAGTGAATGCGGGGTCGGGGTGGAGCGGGATTATAGTGAATGCGGGGTTCCGGGGAGAGGGATATAGTGAGCATGCGGGGTCCGGGGGGAGACGGATATAGTGAATGCGGGGTCCGGGGAGACGGATATAGTGAATGCGGGGTCCGGGGAGAGCGGGATATAGTGAAATGCGGGGCCCGGGGAGAGCGGATATAGTGAATGCGGGGCCCGGGGAGAGCGGATATAGTGAAATGCGGGGCCCGGGGAGCTGAGCGGATATAGTGAATGCGGGGCCCGGGGGAGAGCGGATATAGTGAATGCGGGCCCTGGGGAGAGCGGATGATATAGTGAATGCGGGGTCTCGGGGAGAGGGATATAGTGAATGCGGGGTCCGGGGGAGTGAGGGATAAATAGTGAATGGGGGTCCGGGGAGAGAGCGGATATAGTGAGTGGCGGGGTCCGGGGAGAGCGGATATATAGTAAATGCGGGGTCCGGGGAGAGCGGATATAGTGAATGCGGGGTCTGGGGAGAGCGGAATATAGTGAATGCAGGGTCCGGGGAGAGCGGACTATAGTAATATGCGGGGTCCGGGGGAGAGCGGATATAGTGAATGCGGGGTCGGGGGAGAGCGGATTATAGTAAATGCGGGGTGCGGGGGAGAGCCGGATTTAGTGAATGCAGGGTTCTGGGGAGAGCGGATATAGTGAATGCGGGCATGCGGGGGGAGCGGATATAGTGAATGGGGGTCCGGGGAGACCAGATTAGTGAATGCGGGGTCCGGGGAGACCAGATATAGTGAATGCGGGGTCCGGGGGAGACCAGATATAGTGAATGCGGGGTCGGGGAGAGACCAGATATAGTGAATGCGGGGTCGGGGATTAGTAAACACTTTAAGCCTCAGAAGAAATTTCTACCAATGTGCATTAGAACTGCAGCAAGTGAGATAGAGCTCATTTCATCTCCTCTACTTTCTTCCTACCACTCCATCCCCCACAGCTATTCCTCCCCGTATTACTATCCCTCCCTCCTAGATTGTAAGCTCAAGGAGCTGGGCCCTCGAACCCCTGTGTATCGCATTGTATTGTTATTGTACTGTCTCGTGTATTGTCCCCCCACTAAAAATGTACAGCGCTGAGCGAACTGTTGGCGCTATATAAATACTGTATAATAATAATAATTTTGGGGACTTCCATCATCATCTAGCTCTTTCCTTCCCAGCTTTATGTCCTGGCCGGCCCACCAGCCTGATCTGCCTGCATTTTGATCACAACTGAGACTGACAGAGGCCCAATCTATGCTTTGTAATTAAAATGGAAAGCAGGGCCAGATCTATGGGGGTGCTGGGGTGAAATCTGTGCCCCCCACACACTACACAGTTTTTGCTGCATTTTTATTGCGTTTTGCAATTTTTTTTCTGCCCCAGCAACACACAAAAATTTCACTTTAACAAAAAATAAAAGCTAAAAAATGTAAATAAAAATGCTGTAAAAGCATGTAAAAACACAAAGTACAATGCAAAAAGCATTATAAAGTGGATCAAAAGCAAACTGCATAGGTGTGAACCAAGCCTAAATCATCATTGTCAGTTCACTTGAACTAGTACCTACCAGGGGCGGACTGACGACTCATGGGGCCCCCGAGCAATAGGGGATCATGGGGCCCTGTGTATCCTTGCCCATACTCAAAAAAGCCTATGAAAAAGGTACCAGGGGCATCTCATGGGGCCCCCTACTGACCCCGGGCCTCGGGCAGTGCTGAGGTTCCAAATGGTCAGTCCGCCCCTGCTACCTAACATTGTCTCTATGTGCAGGAAAAGGACCAACTCTGGATCTCAGCCAAAAGTCTGTATTCCGACCACCGGAGTCCTTCTTTAAGATGATCTGTTCATACTGTACCTATGTGAGAAAAGATACTGGGGGGTGATTTACTAAAACTGGATGAGTGCAAAATTCTGGTGCAGCTCTGCATAGAATGACCATGCCTGCGTCATCCTTTGTTTTCCCCACAATGGAGCTGCTGATCTTCTCCAGCCTCTTTCAGCCACTTCTTGTCCACTAACTTGCTCCAGCATCAGCGGCACATCATCGCTCTAAACGGGCTTCCTGACAGTGACGAAACATGCCTGTGTAATGTGTCTCAGCAGGGCCACTGTAGTCACCACCATAGGACATACATGATAGGGTGACAACGCAGGAACACAATTCAAAGACCGTTGTCACCCTATGAGAGGAAGTGCCTGAAAAAGGACTTCTCATGGCAGGATCTTCAGGATTAAATTTTACTGAAGGCTGCAGATTTTAAAAGTCTAGATTTTGAAATTTGAAAAAAAAAGCGTATGTGAGATTTTGGTGATTGGATTGTGTTGATATCAACAGCTAATTAAAAAACAATGTTGCTCTGGTGTTTTTGGTGTGACACGTTCCGTGTCCTGAGGTAACCTGAAGGTTTTGGGTAAAAGTGCTTGCAAAATATTTTCCAAAAATGCTGGATCTGCTGCCTGGCATTTGCCATATTTTTTTCATAAGAAGACAAATATTATTATATATGACTATTAGTCATCTTTCCTGGACTGATCTTCACAATACGATAACATTTCTGGATAATTTCAGATTAATTACCTCCTCACATTCCTTTCCTGAGTGACTCCAAGCGTGGTCCCATGATAGGTGGCCACCTGGGCAATAAGTCCATCTGTGACATTTCCTGGCTACTAAATATTCCACGCTCAACTGTTAGTGGGATTATAACAAAGTGGAAGCAACTGGGAACAACAGCCACTCAGCCACCAAGTGGTAGGCCACGTCACATGACAGGGCGGGGGTCAGCGCATGCTGAAGCGCACAGTGCGCAGAAGTCACCAACTGTCTGCAGAGTCAATAGCTAAAGACCTCCAAACTTGGTGTGGCCTTCAGATGAGCCCAAACAACAGTGCGTAGAGAGAGCTTCATGGAATGGGTTTCCATGGCCGAGCAGCTGCATCCAAGCCTTCCATCACCAAGTGCAATGCAAACCGCCGGATGCCGTGGTGTAAAGCACGCCACCACTGGACTCTAGAGCAGAGGAAACATGTTCTCTGGAGTGACCAATCACGCTTCTCTGTCTGGCAATCTGATGAATGTGTCTGGGTTTGGCGGTTGCCAGGAGAACGGTACTTGCCTGACTGCATTGTGCCAAGTGTAAAGTTTGGTGGAGGGGGGATTATGGTGTGGGGTTGTTATTCAGGGGTTGGGCTTGGCCCCCTAGTTCCAGTGAAGGGAACTCTTAAGGCGACATTTTGGACAATTTCATGCTCCCAACTTTGTGGGAAGAGTTTGGGGATGGCCCCTTCCTGTTCCAACATGACTGCCCACCAGTGCACAAAGCAAAGTCCATAAAGACATGGAGGAGCCAGTTTGGGGTGGAGGAACTTGACTGTCCTGCACAGAGTCCTGACCTCAACCCCATAGAACACCTTTGGGATGAATTAGAGTGGAGACTGCGAGCCAGGCCTCCTCCCCCGACATCAGTGCCTGACCTGACAAATGTACTTCTGGAAGAATGATCCAACCTTCCCATAGACACCCTCCTAAACCTTGTGGACGGCCTTCCCAGAAGAGTTGAAGCTGTTATAGCTGCAAAGGGCGGGGCCAACTCAATATTGAACCCTACGGACTAAGACTGGGGGGCCATTAAAGTTCATGTGTGTGGAAAGGGCGGGGCCAACTCAATATTGAACCTACGAACTAAGACTGGGGGGCATTAAAGGTCATGTGTGTGGAAAGGGCGGGGCCAACTCAATATTGAACCCTACGAACTAAGACCTACGGGGCCAACTCAATATTGAACCCTACGGACTAAGACTGGGAGGCCATTAAAGGTCATGTGTGTGGAAAGGGCGGGGCCAACTCAATATTGAACCCTATGGACTAAGACTGGGGGGCCATTAAAGGTCATGTGAGTGGAAAGGCCAGCCGACCAATACTGCGGGCAATATAGTGTATTATCACAGGTATTGAGATAGCGCTTACAATTTATCCAGCACATTCACATCAGTCTCTGTCCTCACAGAGCGTACAATGTAAGGTCCCTAAGTCACACTCATACATACACATATTAGGGCCCATTTAGACAGGATCTAATATACGGTATCTACCAGCATGTCTTTGGAGTGTGGCAGGAAATTGCAGCTTCTCCATGCAGGCAAACAACGGGAAGCATGTAAACACTTCCAGACTCATGTAAACTGATTTACATGGAAACACATGTACACTTCATATAAAACAACACTAGTCTCCTCTGGGCGCTCCTTCTGTTTGTTTTTGCCCTTCAGTTAGATGGATCAAAAATGAACTGCAATGTATCGCTTTGGTGAGCCGGATATACGCAGATGTGTGCTGGTCTACCTCAACTTACATCTGGGTGCAATCAGGTTTGTCTGAAAGAACACAATAAGTTTTCAGGTTCACTTTTATTAACTTGACTGGATGTGGGGGGATATTTGTTTACATTTGGCAGCCCATAACAATTACAAGATAAAGAGAAAAACAGGTGTTACATATATGACATCTGTTACCCTTCTGATCCAATTCAGTAGGAAATCAGTATATTTATCTGTCTATTTACCATAAACAGAACCAACAAACAGAACATAGAAAACTCATTGAACACCAATGCAACCACTATCTTTCCTCCTGACCCCCAATGTAAGGGACATTCTTCCCACTGATCACCATGTAAGGGACATTCTTCCCACTGATCCCCAATGTAAGGGACATTCTTCCCACTGATCACCAATGTAAGGGACATTCTTCCCACTGATCACCAATGTAAGGGACATTCTTCCCACTGATCCCCAATGTAAGGGACATTCCCCATGTATCAGTAAGGGACATTCTCCCCCACTGACCACCAATGTAAGGGACATTCTCCCCACTGACATGTAAGGGACATTCCCCACTGATCCCCAATGTAAGGGACATTCTTCCCACTGATCACCAATGTAAGGGACATTCTTCCCACTGATCACCAATGTAAGGGACATTCTTCCCACTGACCACCAATGTAAGGGACATTCTTCCCACTGATCACCAATGTAAGGGACATTCTTCCCTCTGACCACCAATGTAAGGGACATTCTTCCCAGTGATCACCAATGTAAGGGAGCATTCTTCCCACTGATCACCAATGTAAGGGACATTCTTCCCACTGATCACCAATGTAAGCGGCATTCTTCCCACTGACCACCAATGTAAGGGACATTCTTCACACTGACCCCCCAATGTAAGGGACATTCTTCCCACTGACCATCAATGTAAGGGACATTCTTCCCCCACTGACCCCCAATGTAAGGAGCATTCTTCCCACTGACCCCCAATGTAAGGGAAATTCTTCCCACTGATCATCAATGTAAGGAACATTCTTCCCACTGACCACCATAGTAAGGGACATTCTTCCCACTGACCACCAATGTAAGGGACATTCTTCCCACTTACCTCCAATGTAAGGGGCATTCTTCCCACTGACCACCAATGTAAGGGACATTCTTCCCACTGATCACCAATGTAAGGGACATTCTTCCCACTGACCACCAATGTAAGGGACATTCTTCCCACTTACCTCCAATGTAAGGGGCATTCTTCCTCTGGGGTAAAAAGATGACCACCTATAACTGTGGACCTGTAAACTGGGACCTATTCTTCCCACTGACCACCAATGTAAGGGAGTTAGTTTAAGGGTTCTCTGGGGTAAAAGATTGAAAACTGTGGACCTAGGCTATAACTGTGGACCTAGGCTATATCTGTGGACCTAGGCTATAACTGTGGACCTAGGCTATAACTGTGGACCTGGATATCTGTGGACCTAGGCTATATCTGTGGACCTAGGCTATATCTGTGGACCTAGGCTATAACTGTGGACCTAGGCTATGACTGATGAAACGATATGTGTAGTATCCACTCTTGCTTATACTGAAAACCAAAGTACCACCCGTGTTAATGCACAGTCACGATTCCAGTAGTCTGGATTGTTTGAGTCCTGCCACAAGCTATGACAGATGACCTTCCAAAGGCAGATAAAGGCGGGACACATGTCAGAGCACACGGGTTCCTGCAAAGTATCTTGTTTCTGTTTTGTTGCCGGTGATCATGTGTTATAACTCATTGGATCCACGTGTGGGGAAGAGAAGCTTTCACTTTACTGCATTTCCTGGCTGTGGCCTTGGCTGTGGCCCTTGGCTATATGCCCTTCCATAGAAATTTGGAAGCTATATTAGTATTAAAGAAACTCTGTAAGCAACTTAAAAAATGTTGATTACACAACATAAAAAATCAAATATTATAAACTGTAACCTGCAGCATGTTTTCCATTCCATAAACAATTTTTGGCTAGAAAATGTAACTGCGGTAGAAGAGTCTATTCCCTAGCACAGTCCCATCCCTCCTCGTTTGTCATAGCCCTCTCTTCTTCTGGGGGTTTTAAAATACTGTCTGTGCTGGCCCAGCTTCTCCTCCCTTCATCTACCTACATAACCTTTTTTGTAGATGCGGGATGGAGCAAAGGGGAAAATTATTAAGTCTGCTGGGGCTGCTGAAATCACATCCAAGACGATGGCATCCAGTAGCAGACTCAGAGCATTTGGATGTCTACACAAGGGAGGTGTTTATAGGTAAATAACATTCCTATATTACAATAACTGCACAAATATAATCGTATAGCAATATTGCTGATGAAATGAATGGTGTGGTGACAGGGTTTCTTTAACGGTTCAAGGCAGTACAAGGTACACGGGTTTATGCCATCCTTTCTGAACCCTTTTAGCCCTGAGGAACCTTTGAAATAATTGTGTGTCTTAGGGAGCCCCTGCTACACATCTCACGGTACAATAGTAAGATCAAGACATTACAAGTGACTAGTTAGAGGAAGAATGCCCCTCACATCGGTGGGCAGTGAAAAGAATGTATAGGTGAGTGGGAGAAGGACATCCTTATGGTCGGTGAGAGAGGTGGCTCCTGATATATGTGGTCAGTGAGAAGAATGATAAAAAGGCTGTTGGCATCATGTGGTTGGTTTTGTCAAGTGATGTAGGCCCCAGAACTATGCCAGCACCATCAGATCAATCTGCCAAAGCTCAAGGAACCCCGACCAACCTCTGGAGGTACCCTAGGGTTTCACAGACCCCTGGTTGAGAATTGGCCGGTTTAAAAAGATAAATGAGCTTTTGGTGGGACCAATTTGACCCACACCACCCAAATGTCTCCACTTAAGAATAAAGTTTACATAACCATGTTAGTACATAAAATTAAACTGCCACAGCCCAAGGAGCCCCTAGCAACCAATGGAGGGGCCTTAGGGTTCCACTGCACCCTGGTTAAGAATGGCTGGTCAAAACAGATAAATAAGCTTTTGGTGGGACCAATTGGATCCACACCGGCCAACTGTCTCCATTAAAGATAAAAGTTTACATGAGCATGTAGGTACACAACGTTAATCTGCCACAGCTCAAGAAACTCCTAGCAATCTCTGGAGAAAGCTTCGGGTTCTACTGAACCCTGGTTGAGAATGGTTGGTCTAAGCAGATAAATACACTTGTGATGGGACTATTTGGAACCACATTGGCCAACTCTCTCCACTGAAGATTAAAGCTTATATTAGCATGTAGGTACGTGGATAATGTTATTCTGCCACAGCTCAAGGAACCCCCAGCAACCTTCCTAGGCTGAGATCCCTGGCTGAGAATACTGTAGCTGGTCTGAGCAGATAAATACACTTGTGGCGGGACCATTTGGATCCACACCACCCCAACTCTCTCCACTTAAGAATAAAGTTTACGTAAGCATGTTAGTACCTAGAATTAATCTGCCACAGCTCAAGGAACCCCTAGCAACCAATGGAGGGACCTTAGGGTTCCACTGCACCCTGGTTAAGAATGGCTGGTCCAAACCGATAAATAAGCTTTTGGCGGGACCAATTGGATCCACACCGGCCAACTGTCTCCATTAAAGAATAAAGAACATATAAACTCTTCAATGTCATTTCAAAAGTTGTTTTCAATCCTTTTTAAATCTGCAGTGTTCATTAAAATAATGCCTGATGATCCTGCCATTAGGGTTCTTGGTTGGGCCCTTCCTGTTATGGATGGACAACACTCTGTCCTGTCTCCCAATTGTGCTCTTGCCTTGACACCCTGTCACATGCACCTCTGGAGGAAACTAAAAGCAATCGCGCTGAAACACGTGCAGGCATGGTCAGAAAGTCAGTCTAGAGCTATGATGTTCGGTCGACGCTGGAGCAAGTGTATGTAGACAGGAAGTGGTTGACAGAGGCTGAAGAAGATCAGCAGCACTGAGATGGGTAAAAAAAGGTAAAAACTATTTTACGGGGCAAAAATAGTAATTGTGTATGATACACAGTGCACAGAGCAAACAAAATGTCATCCATTAGGATTTACGTCTACTTTATTCCCAAAGCTTCTGGGTAATTTAAGAGCTAGCGGTCACTTGTGAGATGCAGACAGTCGTTACCCAAAACTGTCCTTTCCGGAGAGGAACTCTTCATTTTCACAAGACTGAGAAGTTCATCCGGTAACCTCTGGTGGTAAAAGAGGAAGTCTCTGACAGTATAGATAGCTATACAAAGTCTTCTTAGAACAGAAAGTCTGCACATGGAAATGCAGAACTGCTGCTCTAAATATATCCTAATATTATAGAGCCGTTTATTTCAACCTTCTTACGGCTGTTTCCATACACCGCACTGATGATGGCCGAAAAGCCTGAAACAGCCTCTTTCTTCAAGAATCTGGTCCAGAGTCCTGATGGGCAGCAATTGCCACTAAAAGGTTGTGTGGCCATTGTATATCACCTACATTTACAATTTTGCATACAGAAGCAGTGATGCCACTAGGGTTGGTGTCACCTGGTGCACATGGTGTCACAACCCCCCCCCCCCCCCCCCTTTCCCACAGCCATGATACAAGAGAAAGCCAGAGATAGTGGACATGATACAAGAGATGGTCAGAGACTGTGCGGACATGATAAAAGAGACGATGAGAGAGTGTGGCCATAGCGGTGCTCACAGTGGTGTGGGAGTCTCCAGCAGCTATAAATGGATGGTGCGGGGGTCCAGTCTCTGGGACTCAGTGTGGCTGTGCTCACAGTGGTGTAGTGGAAGTCTCCAGCAGCCATGGATAGATGGTGCCGGGCAGAGGTCCAGTCTCTGGCACTCCATGTCTTTGATGCTCACAGTGGTATGGTGCGGGTCAAGATCCAGAGCTCTAGAGGCATGCCCACTGGCATGCCACTGTGCTGTATTGTCATTACAGGTGGCGCCATGATGTCACTGACTCACTGCACATGCGAAAATGGCCAAGCATGACCGAGCCCAGGCACAGTTCCAAAGTCATCCCACAGCTAATTTTCTTGGCAATCCTGGTGTCACCCAGGTGAGGTTCGCACCACCGGACCCCCATATCAATGCCACTGTACTGAAGGTAAGAGTTAAACCCTCTAGCACCGATTTTCGCCTTGTCACCAGGACAGGACACGAGGAGAAATCTTTCCAACAGTCTTAAAATTTTAGAGGTTCTAACCCTTCCCTATTCTATCCAAAAGTAAAAGAAGTTTTGATTAGAGATACACATTAATATTCACTATCCACTTTATGGGAGTAATTGTCTAGTTGTAGACCAGCCTTCTCAACTCAGATTCCAACTGAGGTTATGAGGGGTTTCTTTGAGCTGTAAGCAGTGACCACTGACAGAAGGGGATACCTATACACTAATCACCAACGTAAGGGGACACATCTCCTTGACCACCAACAAAATACGGAACTTCTGCACTGACCACCAGCATAAGGGGGTCACTTCTCATACTGACCACCAACATAAGGGGACAATTCTGTTACTGATGACCAACCGAAGGGGACACTTCTCATACTGACCACCAGCATAAGGGCACAATCCTGTTACTGATGACCAACCGAAGGGGACATTGCTCATACTGACCACCAACATAAGGGGACAATCCTGTTACTGATGACCAACCGAAGGGGACACTTCTCATACTGACCACTAACATAAGGGGACAATCCTGTCACTGATGACCAACCGAAGAGGACACTTCTCATACTGACCACTAACATAAGTGGACAATCCTGTCACTGATGACCAACCGAAGGGGACATTTCCCATACTGACCACCAACATAAGGGGACAATCCTGTCACTGATGACCAACCGAAGGGGACACTTCTCATACTGACCACTAACATAAGTGGACAATCCTGTCACTGATGACCAACCGAAGGGGACATTTCTCATACTGACCACCAACATAAGGGGACAATCCTGTCACTGATGACCAACCGAAGGGGACATTTCGCATACTGACCACTAACATAAGTGGACAATCCTGTCACTGATGACCAACCGAAGGGGAACATTTCTCATACTGACCACTAACATAAGTGGACAATCCTGTCACTGATGACCAACCGAAGGGGACATTTCTCATACTGACCACCAACATAAGGGGACAATCCTGTCACTGATGACCAACCGAAGGGGACATTTCGCATACTGACCACCAACATAAGGGGACAATTCTGTTATTGATGACCAACTGAAGGGGACACTTCTCATAC